ATGGTACTATACAGCAATGCCTGGGGGAAAAAAACCTGAAGTACAGAGCATGTAAGCTATACTCTCTTTATACATCTAAAAGTTTAATCTTCAGTTTTGACTGGTGTGTAGCTCTGTTGACATTTGTGAAAAAAACACAAACTAGTCAAACATATTTAGGAAGGAATTTGTTTAAACTATCAAACTTAAGTTGCCCAACAACTAGGGATGGACCAATACAGTTTTTTCGGTTAAGAGTACCGATATTTTGCTTTCAGTGCACGCCGATACTGGGGCCTCTCCTAGCATGGAGCCGACTTCCCAGGCAATCAGGAAGCCGGGTGGCATGTAATGACATGCTTGCCCGGCTTCCTGATTGCCCAGGAAGCCGGCTCCATGTTGTTTGGCCAAAAAAACGGCTTCTCAGCCAATCAGCATCGAGCCGGCTTTCTGGCCAATCAGGAAGCCGGGCGGCGAGTAATGACCTGGCTCCCGGGTTCCTGATTGAAAGGGAAGCCAGCTCCATGCTGATTGGCTGGAAAGCCGACTTCCCAGCCAATCAGCATGGAGCCGGCTTCCTGGCTAATCAGGAAGCCGGCTCCATGTTCAGCTACGGCACTGCCAGTCAGAATAAATTTTCCTCTGGCCGGAAGTTCCGGGAACGCGGGGAAGGTATAGGAGCATTTGAGTTAGTATGAGTATACTAGTATCGGTGCAACAACATTAGGTGACATTCTGGTGATCAAAGTGCTTTGCAGACACATAAGAGTTAGGGAAAATAGCTACTAGACAGGTTAGAAAAACCTAATTGGCTGCTACTATTTTTATCCTGGTGCTGGAGTTTGTGGCATGCCTTGCTTTCTGTCTCCATAAGCCTAAACACAAATGGGGTAACATGAGGTAACTGCTCGTGCTTCAAAATGCCCAGGTTGGCACAGATGCCTGGGCGCAGTTGGATCATGCTTGCACAATTTACTGTCCTTTAGTGTCTATGGCTAGCTTTACAAAACTGTATCAGAGTCTAGCAAATACAATAAGGTAATGTGGATAGTGCAACAGCTCAGAGCAAATTCCTATATCAGTGATCTGACTTTAATTACGTAAAATCTGGTTCTATGACGCACAACTTTATTGCATTGCTTGGTTAATTCAATAAGCCTGATAAGGGTTCTGAAAAAAATACTGTAAAAATTTATTGCACATATAGTAAATACACAAAGCCCTTAAAATTGTGTGTTTACTACAACTTAATAAAACATGTTCTATGAAATGGTGTTTCAAACAGCAAAATAATGAATTTATTTAAAGATAAGATTCAGCAGATCAAAATCTGTCCCATAAAGAGTTTCATCCATTGCAATGTTTTATTTTTTTTATGATACCTGAAGGAAAACCATATAAAAATACTATTTTTCTTATCTGCACTGCATTTACAACACTAAGAAATATACATAGCAATGTTGATGGCTTGAATTGTACGAGTTACATCCCAGTAGCATTTACATTTTCCTTTTTGATCAAAGATTCTTATTAATAAAAGTTCAGAGGAATTAGTGTACAAAGGAAAGTTACTTCCTTGTGCTCACTGCAAAAAGTGAACATGCAATTTAAACTTTGTACATATTCTGCAATCATATGAAATATTTGTACAGAGATCTGGAAATATCAAATGCTATTTCATATATGAACAACCGGTATTTCAGCAATATATTAACTTTGCCATGCCTTCATCTTTCTGAAGGAATCACCGTAGCACGGCAAGGTAGAGTCATACAGCTCTGTGTGAAACTCAGTAGCATGTATGATCTCATCCACATTGAGTACATATAGCTTGCTATGAGGGAAAATGGTTGACATTGCCTTCCCTGGAGAATTGTGGGCCAGTTTCACCACATAAATCATCCAGAGGGATAGGAAGTCCAATCAATGTTCCCGAATAATGCTTTGCAAATGCTTGAAAAATGCTACATGCTTGCTTATAGGCATTTGGAGAGCATTCCAAAACAATTCTACTGAATTCGTTTGAAATTGTTGGTACCTGCCAAAGCCTTGAAAACAATGAAAGTCGATTTGTTTTTGGCAAAGCAATACGAATGCCCACCATATACTCCTATGTGCACAAATGTTTTTGCCACAATAATAAAAACAGGGGGAGGTGTTTGCTTAACATTCATAAAGCTAGAAATCCTCTTACCAAATGTCTTCTCCTAAACCCCATGCAAAATAGGCCTTAAGAAAAGGTTTTCAATGTTTTTAAAAATGGGAAAACCTCAAATAGCAATTAAGTCATTTTTAATGGTGAGAAATCCAGATGCTTAAAGTGGAAATAAACCACTTTATAAATGTGCTGTACAGTATACTTGCACATTAAGGGGCACTTACCTTACAAGTCTGTCCTTCTCCAGCGCTGTTGGGTCGATCTTTGATCCTCAGCTCTGCCCATTTCTGTCGTCAACACTTCCAGGCTCAGAAGTCTTCTTTGGCCATTGGGTGACTGCTAATGATGCAACTCCTGCGGATGTGCACAAGAGTTACATTTTCCCTCCGCATACGGCCCATTCACGACATCTGTAAGATGCCGTGATTGGGCAGAGTGTGTACACTGTATGCTGCTTCATACATTGTACACAAAAAAAAAAGAAAATCGCTGGGGGAGAGAGGAAGATTTGTTTTGGGCAGACAAGAGTTTGCATGTCTCTTGTGAAACCCTACTTCTCAGCGATTTTTTATGTTATTGACTTTACTTCTGCTTTCAGAACTTGTTCCAATAAGGTAACTTGTGGGGGCCTGAAAAAGCAGGATCACGTTCAAGGACAAGTATTACTCCACTAGGGATGTTTCTTCTTGTTTTTTTGTCAATGTATGTGTGAAAAGCCCTTTAGATTGCACATGATGCCTACACAGGCAGGGTTATTTTTTTAAGATAGTGGAAACAGCAATGACCAACAGCAACTAATTATGTTTTTTTTGTTAATCAGTTTAGAGTAGTCAGAGCTATGAAAAATATAACTGCTGATTGCCTGCAATGATTTTCTGAACCTTACAACTTGTTTTCTGTTTTTAAAGTGACACTAAACTCGAGAGTTTAATATTAAAATGCATTCAAGTACACAAAAATTTAGCGTATTTGTGCATCACTCAACTGTAGATCTCTAAATCATCTGAATTATTGCTGACACTGTCCTTCCTTCTGGAGGAAGGCTAATTTTGTTCCCCATGGTATCTGTGTGTGTATTGTAAAGTAGACACTGCTCCAAGCTTGCTCTTGTTATGGACTACAATTTCATGTTTATTTTACTAATTGTATTGAGATTGTAGTCCATCATGGGTGTGAACTTGGAATGGTAGCTACTTTACAACACATACAGGGACCATGGGGGAAAAAAGTAGCCACCCTCCAGAAGGAAGGACAGTGTCAGCACCAATTCAGAGATGATTTGAGGATCTACAGCTGAGTGATGCACAAATAAGCTAAATTTTTGTTACTAGTTAGGGTACTTGAATGCATTTTTACGATTTAACTTATGGGTTTGGTGTCACTTTTAATAGACCTCATGGTGTTGTTGGCAGCCCAGTTGAGCGCTGATCCAGTAATGAATTTAGGCAAGAGGTCAACTTTAGTACAGCTATGTTAAATTTACATAATATAATATAACATGACAGAAAGACACGGATGTCTTCAGATATTTTTTTTGCTGACATTTCCCCTTTATCTACATGAATACTTTAATTAATGAGGAAATAACCTGAAAAAGTTTGAAAGGACCCACAACAATATACAGTATGTTTCTATAATGCATTCAATGTGTCCAATTCATAAAGGAATGAATAAACACCACCACAAAGCTTTTTCAATAACCAAACATTTTGCTTGTCAGTTTTCAATGCATTCCTTCCATGTCTGATTTATTCAATGTCACCTTGCAAAACCAATTCACCAGGATCCAAAACCTGGACTTGTTTGGCAAAATAGAGACAACAGAAGCATATACTATATAATAAATTAAAATCCCCCCACCCCAAACTCAGTATAGCAAATAGCAGGAGTTTTGCTTATTGCTGAAGTCACTAGAATTTGCAGGTTCACACGCACATGTACACATTTTATACAAATGCTTATGCACACAAACACACGTGAACCAGTACAGAGACAAAGCACATACAAACAGAAAATAAAATAAAACAGGTAGAATAAAATTGCCTTTGTCCTTCTCCAAGCTGATAAACTGTTAAGCATTGGTATGGAATGCTGGTTTTTAATGTGTCTCTTATGGGTAAAGTTTTCTTTCTT